CTGGAAGTTTGTGGTACAAGAGCGGGTGTTCAAGCTCTTGGAAGACTTAAACGTAGAGTATGATCCAGTTCGGAGCAGAGTACTTGGTATGGATGTGCTTTCTTCTCTCTAGGAAGCCTTCACTTTTGTGCAGAATGAGGAGAGTCGCCGCTCTGCGATGCTTCCTTCTGCTACTACTGATCGCTCAGCCTTGAGTTCTGCACCCTCTCGCGATGGCGACCATGTGACTCATGGTTCTTGTTTTTCCTCTAAGAAGGATAATCTTTACTGTGACTACTGTCGTCGACCTTCCACACACGAGAGACTTGTTGGAAGCTTGCATGGAACCCCCTCTGGTGGCCAAGGAGACCATCCTAGTAGTCGAGGGGGTAGGTATGGTCAGTCTAGAGACCGAGGGGCCAATGCGCCAGCATATCTTTCAGACATTGTTGAGCCACCATCTTCATCTCCAGTTGTCTCCTCCGCTGCTAATGTTTCGGGGTTATCTGCCTTGGATTTTGAGATTGCTCTTCGCCACTTGCTAGACCATCGAGCCTCCACCTCTGCTACAAGTGCACCCTCTTCTTCCTTTGCCAATTCAGGTAACTTGGCTTCCTCCCTATGTGTATTGCTATCTCATACGACTGTACCATGGATTATTGATCCTGGTGCTTCCGATCATATGTCTGGCTCCTCTAATTTATTTTCAGAGTATAACCCCTTCTCAAGTCAGGAAAAAGTGCGTACTGCTGATGATACCATTTCGTCTGTGTCAGGGAAAGATTTAATTCATGCCACCTCTTCCCTTCCTTTGTCTTCTGTCCTCTATGTTCCCAATTTCAATGTTAATCTTTTATCTTTAAGTCGTATTACCCGTAACTTAAATTGTAGTGTGACGTTTTTTTTCTTATCATTGTCTTTTTCAGGATCTTATCACGAAGAAGAGGATCGGCAGTGGTAGAGAGGATCGGCAGTGGTAGAGAGGATCATGGTCTCTACATTCTAGATCAGACAGACAAACTGGCTCATTCATCTATTCTGTTATCATCCACCAAGGAAGACATTTGGCTGTGGCACCGTTGCTTAGGATACCCCTCATTTTTATTACTTAAGCATTTATTTCCTTCTCTTTTTGAGAAAAATAATGTCAGATTTTCAATGTGAGTCTTGTCAACTTGGAAAACAACACAGAGCCTTTTTTGCTCCTTCTATTAATAAAAGTTCAGTTTCATTTTCTTTGATTCATTCTGATGTATAAGGTCTCTCCCGTTTTGTGTCTTTAACGGGTCACAAATGGTTTGTTACCTTCATAGATGATTATTCCTAGGCCACTTGGGTATATTTGATGAAAGATAAAAAGTGAGGTGTTTTCTGTGTTTCAAAACTTCCATAAAATGGTTTGTACTCAGTTTGGGGCGGTTGTAAAAATTTTACGTTCTGATAATGGGGGGGAATATATTGACTCTGATCTTACCACTTACTTCGTCACTCATGGCATTATTCACCAGACTTCCTGTACTAATACCCCTCAACAAAATGGTGTTGCAAAACGAAAAAATCACCATCTCCTTGATCTTGCCCGTTGTTTATCCTTTGAGATGCGGGTTCCTCAATCCTATTGGGGGGAAGCGGTTCTCACTACCACTTATTTGATTATTCTCCTTCCTACCCAAGTCCTTCAAAAACAAACCCCTCTTCATGTTTTGTTCGGGTCTCCCTCTACCGGGTTTTCCATTTCTTCTAAGACCTTTGACTGTATTTGCTTTGTCCATCATCATTCTCCCACTCGTGATAAATTGGATCCTAGGTCTCTTAAGTGTGTCTTTCTAGGTTATTCTGCCACCAAAAAGGGTTATAAGTGTTACCATCCTCCAACTCACAAATGATTTGTCTCCATGGATATCACTTTCTTCGAGTTTCAATCTTACTTTCCGACCTCCACGGTCTCACCGTCATCCCTTCAGGGGGAATCTTGGTGTGAAGAGATTCCTGTTTCACTTCTGTCGGTGGTTGAACAGATAGAGGATAATGAGCCAATAGTTGTTAGAGAAAAGGAAATAGGCAAAGTTTATATCAGGGACAAGGACAGACAGCAAGTCACCAGGATGCAAGAGCCTACTCTCTCCCTACTTCTGCCAACTTCTTCCCCGAATGAGTATCTAGAGTCAACCTTATCTCCTGAGAATCCAGGTAATTCTAATTCTAGTACTCCTATTCCTAATGTTTCAGATCTTGATGTTCCTATTGCTAGTAGAAAGGGAGTTAGGTCTTGTATTCAGCATCCTATTACTAATCATGTCGCTCTTTCTAATCTGTCTTCCACATATAAAGCCTTTTTGTCTAAGGTGTCTTCTGTGAGCCTACCAATCAATTTTCAGGATGCTCTCTCTATTCCAAAATGGAAACATGCCATGATAGAAGAAATGAGAGCTCTAAGCAAAAGTGGCACTTGAGAGTTAGTGGAGTTACCTAGAAATAAACATCCAGTTGGGTGTAAGTGGGTGTACACAGTTAAACACAAAACAGATGATACTATAGGACGGTACAAAGCACGATTGGTTGCTAAGGGCTTCACTCAGACTTATGGGGCAGATTACCAGAAGACATTTGCACCGGTTACAAAGATGAACTCTGTGAGAATTCTACTCTCTCTTGTTGCAAATCTTGGCCGCTTCATCAGTTTGATGTGAAGAATGCCTTTCTTCATGGAAACCTAGCCGAAGAGGTCTATATGGATATTCCCCCTAGTTTTGCGGATGCTAAGTCTAAAGATAACGTATGCAGGCTCTAAAAGTTGCTTTATGGACTAAAGTAATCTCCTAGGGCGTGGTTTGAAAGGTTTGCTCAAGCTATGCTGAAATATGGGTTCAAGCAGAGTCAAGCTGATCACATCTTGTTTGTGAAACACTCTTCACATGGTAAAACCAGAACTCTCATTGTTTATGTTGATGATATTGTTCTGACAGGGGATGACATTGAGGAGATCCCTCGGTTGAAGGAATACTTAGCCAAGGAGTTCGAAATCAAAGACTTGGGTAATTTGAAGTATTTCTTAGGCATTGAAGTAGCTAGGAGCAAGGATGGCATCTTCATATGTCAGAGAAAGTATGTACTTGACTTGCTAAAGCAAACTGGAATGCTAAGAGGAAGGCCATGTGATACACCTCTAGAACCAGGTCAGAAACTCAGGCCTTGTTTGAGAACAGACTAATTTAGTAACTTTTTGGCTATTTGGCTAAAATATGAGCTAAAAAAAACTAGTATGTTTGGGATGACTTTTGACTTTTTACAAAAAGATGTGCAAAAAGTAGAAAGAAAAGATAATCTTTGACTTTTTGGTATGGGTTGGTTTTTTTGGCTTTTTTAGTAACTGTTTAACTTTTTGGCTAAACCGGCATGTTGCCAAACGAGGCCCAGTGAAGATCAAGAAGGAGAGCCAATGAATAGGAAGAGATACCAGAGATTAGTGGGCAAGCTCATATACTTATCCCACTCTCGTCCAAACATTGCCATTGCCGTGAGCATGGTGAGCCAGTTTACACAAACTCCTAGAACTTCCACTTCGAGACCATTATGAGAATCCTGAGATACCTGAAGTCTTCTCCTGGAAAGAGTCTCTATTTCTCAAAGCATGGCCATCTCAATGTGGAGGCATTTACTGATGCAGATTGGGCTAGCTCCGTCACTAACAGACGCTTAACTTCTGGGTACTGCACATTTGTTAGTGGCAACCTAGTCACATGGCGAAGTAAGAAATAGAATGTGGTTGCTCGATCTAGTGTTGAGGTAGAATTCAAGGCTATAGCTCAGGGTGTATGTGAGTTACTATGGATTAAACTATTGTTCGGAGACTTGAGAATCCATTAGACTGACTCCATGCGACTATACTGTGACGATAAGGTAGCAATCAACATAGCTCATAATTCAATTGAGCATGATAGAACTAAGCATGTGGAGATTGATAGGTACTTCATTAAAGAAAAACTCATCAGTGGCACCATTTGTATTCCATTTGTGAAGACTAGGGACTAACTAGCTGATGTTCTCACCAAGGGACTAGAGAGCAAACCTTTTCATGGCATTCTCAATAAGCTGGGCACGAGAGATATCTTCGCACCAGCTTGAGGAGCAGTGTTAAAATAGGAAAAAGTAGAATAGGAAATAATTGATTGTATTCTTATTTGGTCCCTTGATTGGTGTAATGGCTGGACTATATATTATGCCTTATGGCACTCCTGTAATTGCAGAGAATTATCAATATAAAAGGAAATGAAGTCTAACTCATTCCCTAACTCTTTCTTTTCTCTAAACCTACATAATAGAACTTTCATTTCAACATCAAGTCTAAATTGTATATACGGCCTCCATACTTTCTACTTTCCCGCTAAAGTGTCATATGCAAAATTATTGTATGCAACTTTTTTGTTTGTTTAGTTGAGATCCGATTTAGTATTGATATATTTTATCATTTATCCTTACTTTCTATGAAGCGTGGATATCAATATGGAATAACATGTATGACACATTCAGGATATGTCAATTCAATAAATTCTACAAAAGCAAGGTATTAATTACTTTAATCTCACAATTTTCTTCTTCTCTAAAAAATAAGCAATGTATGGAGCTTTTTTATTTATCCTAACAATTATACTCTACTACTATGCAATAAATATTACGATCATCAAATTCAAAATTGCTCACATGTGTGACCAAGAGTATAGTATTTGATAATTCTCAAAATTAAAGAAAATTATGGATATGTTTAGGAAGGATCAGATACATATCCAAGGAGTAACAGTAACCAATATGGATAGAACTCCCTTCTAGAAGTATTTGCGCTTCATAGGCTTACAAAAATTGTTGTACACAACCCTAAATGACGGTTATTGTCTCCCAGTTTCCTAACCCTTCTCCCACAAACAGACATAGGTCATTCAGTTAAAGCAAATTAACATTAAAAAAGCAGTCTATATGCATGGAGCAACTGTAACAGCAAGGCAGAACAATGTAATAATACTCACCATGGGAACTACTATTCTGTCATGTCCTGTTTGTGTCAGAAATGTATACGACAGAAGACCAATGCTTTGGGTGAACTTCCTGATCATGTAATAATAATAAGGAGATGAAAGGATTAAATAAACAACAATATGAGAAGGATAGTTATGTTATTTGGACAAAATAGAAGGAATTCATGCTTGAACTACACAAAACATTTCAATTAGCGAACTTATAAAATGCTGGCATGGTAAAGTTTCTTAATTATCATTCCAATAGAATTACAAACAATTTTTGAAGGATCATGTTACCCAAATGGGTTGGGGTTGTTGGGTGGGAGTGGGAAGGGGGGTTGTATAATGAAGAAAGAGAAGTAGCCACCGTAGCATTTTTGCACAGCATATTTCATTTGAGTTTCACATACTAGCTACAATATATTGCCTCAATATGCAGCCCTCTTGCATATAGCATATTTCATCCTAGAATACATCTTTGTGCTTCCTAGTATTGGAAAATTATCCTGAGTGTGCATGCAAATCATATACATGCACACATAGAAATGCAGAATAGCATGATAGTATTACAAATCAACTACAGAACACAACGGCAAAACAGAAAAAATATAAACATGCCAGCAAAACAGCAAAAACTGAAATTTAATGTACAACAAAATGACTTCATTGTTGGACACAAACCTTCCCTTCAAATGACGGCTGAAGACAATAACATCTGCCCCAAGTCTCATAGAGCTGGTCTTGAAGCCATTGCCATCTGAAAAGTTACAAGTCAACCAATTAATATAAAAAGGAAAAATAAGCAAAATTGAAAAATGAGCCCACAGGATCCATACACTGTCCAATTGCTGATTTTGACTTCTTATCAGAAAATCCAAAACTCAAACAACGCCGCATTGCGTCTGGGTCCATTCCACCACCATCATCTGATTGTTAAGTATCAAGATTCGAATGACACGATTTAGATAAAAAAAATTAAAACGGGTGATAATGTCAATTTGAAGATCCAAAATCATATTAACTACCATTCTTTTATAATTTTATAGGTGCAAGAAATAAGGTACCTTGAATTAACAATGCTGGACTTCCATCCCTGGGATTTGAGGTTTTATCTACAATGACAAGGGTGGCCCCATTTTGTATCTATCAAATAGTTAATCATGGGTTGTAAAACATAAAAAAGTTATCATACTTAACATGAAGCAAAGGAGGTAAAGAACCATTGATAAACAATAAAGGCATATATTGACCCTAACAATGGCACCTACAAAGGCAATTTTATGTTGTAAGACTCAACCGAACTTGACAATCCTTTGGTGTCACAAATTTTTGTTTGAGTAAAGGAATAGATGGCACAGAAGGAGCAAGCGATTAGAGTGCGCAGTAACACCTTTATTTAGTTAAGAAATTTATAAGGCAAATCCAACCGCCTAAAAGGCTTCCAACATGCCACAACGTTCCAAATTTTGATCACACTAGTTTAGTGTTCTTTCATAGTAAGCATCATGTCAATTGGTCCTGTTAGAATAGTCATATGTTATTATTTTATTAGTTGAGGGTACTATGGTCATATTATAATACGTCTTCATAGAAATATATACCGCTGGAGTAGGGTTGATTTTCACAACTCTAAACCAATTAGTCAAACCATCTTCTCTTCTCTCTCTTCCCCTCTAACCCTAACCCTAATATTCAACTCTTGTGCATTCTAACTTGGTATCAGAGCAGAGTTCCTGCCTTCTCGAGTGTTCATCAGAATCTAGAGATGATTGTGAGGTGACAGCAATGTGCTGATATCATCCGTACGATGACATCAGCGTGACATCATCATCCGTATGGACAAGTTGAACGCTGATGTCATCGTACGGATGATATCAGCACATTGCTGTCAAGGATAGATTCTTCCTTTTGAGTTCAATGGTGATTTTTGCGGAATTTTTTAGAGCCATTTGATGTAAGTTTTATATTTTTGAATGATTTTTGAATATTTTTGGTCAACAATCAAAAAGCTGTTTCTGCTCTACTTGTGCGAGTTCTACCTAGTGGGCTCATCTCTATAGGGGCCGAAAATCTTCCAAGAGGTCTTCCTTGAGGTTTGTTTTGAGATTTAGTACTGTTTTGTTGGATTTTTGGTACTTTTTTGCCTCCTTCCCAGTTCGGCATCTTTGGGTTTGGTCACAGACTTCTCTGTTTGGTGTTTTCTGCTGTTATTTGGCTGCTTTGGCTGTGTTATTTGGCTGTTTTCTGCTGGTTTGGTCACAGACTTCTCTTACTTTGGCTGTTTTCTGTTTGGTTTGGTCACAAATTTTTATTTTGTTTTTGTTTTTGTGTTTTTTTTGTCTGCTGTGTGTTTTCCATGGATGAAACCAAACCTCTTGTGGTTAAAGACGATGAGTTGCCTAAGTCTATCACTGCCAAGAAACTTAATGGCTTAAATTATCCGGCTTGGGCTCATGCTATTAAAATCTTTTTTCGGGTAAGCAAAAATCTCGTTTTCTTAATGAACTTCCTCCCGCTGTTGATGATAAAACCTATGATGACTAGTATAGTGAGGATTCTTGTGTTATGGGACGGCTCTAGGCATAACTTGGAACCTTATGTTGCTACTACTGTGGAATTTTGTGACACCTTGAAGGAAATTTGGAACTCCCTTGTTGATTCATTTTCGAATCAAAGTAGTGTCTCCCGAGTCTGAGTTATATGAGCAAATTTTTGCTACTCGACAGTTTGGTCGTTCTCTTTTGGATTATTACAATGGCCTTAAGAATTTGTGGGATCAGTTATTACAACACCAACCTTTACTATTAATTTGTAAAAAATGCAATGTATAAAAAGAAATAAAAAAATGTATTTATTGATTGATATATTGATTGTTATGCTGTCTATTACAAATGGTTCCTTATATAGATGTAGGTGTAGTGGATGGTGGTAGGGGTGTAGTGGGTTAGGTTTAGTGGAGTAGGTGAGGTGGTAGTGGTGTAGTGGGTTAGGTTTAGTGGAGTAGGTGAGGTGGTAGTGGTGTAGTGGGTTAGGTTTAGTGGAGTAGGTGAGGTGGTAGTGGTGTAGTGGGTTAGGTTTAGTGGAGTAGGTGAGGTGGTAGTGGTGTAGTGGGTTAGGTTTAGTGGAGTAGGTGAGGTGGTAGTGGTGTAGTGGGTTAGGTTTAGTGGAGTAGGTGAGGTGGTAGTGGTGGTAGGTGATGATAAATTCTAACAGCCCCCCGCAAACTCAAGGAGGATAGAAACGAACCAACTTGAGTTTGAAGAGAGGAACAAAACAAGAAAATACATAAAAACCGTTGTAGAAGACATTTTATGGGGTCATGTCGGACCGTTGTAGAAGACATTTTATGGGGTCATGTCGGACCGTTGTAGAAGACAGTTTATGGGGTCATGTCGGACCGTTGTAGCAGACAATGCTGTGACAGTTGTTGGGACAGTTTACGGAGTCTTGCTGGACCCTTGTAGAAACTAACCGGAATCAATGTCGGGACAGTTTACAAAGTCTTGTCGGACCCTTAAAAAGTCGCACCCTCAAAAGGTGTGCCCAATCTAGCAAAAGGCGTGCCATCAAAAGGCGTGCCCAATTCATCAAAAGGTGTGCCGGACATGATGGCGAGGCACGTGGGCGCCTTGGCTTGCGCGCCCGTTTGTCGTCTGGCGGCAAGTGGCGCGCGATACGCGTGGCTGCCTCGGCTATTTAACCAAGACGAAGGCTGAGGCTGAGGCATACCATTCTGAAACCTCTGAAACCAACCCTTCGCTGAAAAACTCTGCCTCTTCGGAGAGAGAAAATCTGTAACACTCTGTTGCCCAGAAAAATGGCCTCTTCTTCCCGGAGTCTGCTCACTCTCTTTCCCGACCTGAACGAGTCAACAAGAGAGATAACTGGTGCGGTGGGTTTGGGTTTTGTGTGTTTTTTTTTTTTTTTTTTTTTTTTTTTTTGTGTTTGTTTGTTTGTTTGTTTGTTTGTTTGTTTTTTTTTTTGTGTGGTGTAAAATGGTGATCGGGGTGAGCCCCGACATGAATAAAATAAGTTCGTCTTCTTCCTCTGTGTTGTTTTTTTTTTGTTTTTTTTTAATTAATTAATTAATTTATTTTTTTTGTTTGGGAAAGGAAATAAAAGAAAGAGTGGAAATATCAGAAGGCGTGGGAATCGGTGAGCGAATAAAGGGGATATAAAAAAATAAAAAAAAAAATAGACAAAAAGGTAGTGGATTGAAATAGTAAATAATAAAATAAGAAGAGAAAGTGGACTGTCGGTGTTGGTTTTGTATAATAATAATAAGAATAAGAAGAGAAAGTGGGGTGTGCGTGAGTGGAGGCAGACACTGGCGTGATTGGAAAGACAAAAAAGTAGGGGATTGAAATAGTAAAATAAAAAGAAAGGAAAAGAGACAGTTTAAAGTGAGAAATCAATGTGCATCTGTGACTGATGGCCAAGTGGGTGGAAATATTAAAAAAAAATTGTGGGAAAGAAAATAATTGATTGAGGAATGGTACTTCTTTTAAAAGCTTAAAGAGTCTCTCACGTTCTTGCACCAAAGCCACTTTAACCTTCTCGAGATAGGCCGGATTCTTCAGTGCTGCACATGCAGAAACTTATGCAGTAACAAACACATTATATGGTTGTTTTGCTCTCCAAAGATACTCCATAATGCTCGAAGGAAATGCACCATATCCAATCTAAACGAAGGCTCAGCAGTACAATTACCATCTGTGTCTGAAACTGCATAGCTGATGTGATCAATAACCATAGCTCCCGGATCCTCATCAAAATCAACTCCGCAGTCGGGGGCAATCTCTCGAATTAGATTAGAGGCAGAAGAATTAGCCCCCATAATCAAATCATAACCAGCATCGACGAAATCCATAATAGCTGCCAAATCAATGGATCCCCCGAAACGCTCGACCGCTGGAGAGAAGAGGATCAATCCGTCGTACAAGTACTGGTTGTATCTGTGTAAGGAGATCTTGGGATCGTCGGCAAGTTTGAAATCAAGGTCGAAGCCGCGAGATTGAAGAGAATTGAGGAAGATGGAGTGCGAAGATCTGATGGCGAGGTCATCGAGCAAGACGAGAGTTCGAGGATCGGTGGGGTGTTCGGGAGAGAAAGAGCTGCAGAGTGTGGCGAGAAATGGGATTGCAGTGAGGAAGATCAATTGTAGCGTCGACATCGTTGGTTCGTCGGGTCTACGAGCTCTCCAGATTTTTCCCACTCACAGAGATCCGGGACTCGTCGAGTGTTTGTTTTCGAATAGACCCACGCCGATTTGCCAACTCCACTAACACCTGGACTGGTTCTCCAACAACCCAAATCAGCTCATGCGTACTGACCCAGAGAGAGAGAAGGTTCAGCCACTTGAGTCATGTTATGTTTATCATTAACAGTGGTTTGGCTAAGGCTTGAAGGGACTGTAGCAGACACTGGTGTTCCACGAGGGGTTTTGGGGTTGTTCCGGCGAAGTGGTGAAGAAGAATTTCAAGGTATGTGTAGAGGTCCGGCGGACGGCCAAGGCGAGGCTGCCGCCGCCCGCCAGTGAAGCAGAATTTTTAGATTTTAAACCTGCTCTGATACCATGTAAAAAATGCAATGTATAAAAAGAAATAAAGAAATGTATTTATTGATTGATATATTGATTGTTATGCTGTCTATTACAAATGGTTCCTTATATAGATGTAGGTGTAGTGGATGGTGGTAGAGGTGTAGTGGGTTAGGTTTAGTGGAGTAGGTGAGGTGGTAGTGGTGTAGTGGGTTAGGTTTAGTGGAGTAGGTGAGGTGGTAGTGGTGGTAGGTGATGGTAAATTCTAACATAATTTAGCACAACAAAAGCAGAATTGGGAGGAGTTTATGATGGCCTCTTTACTTGTGGGCTTAGATTCTGATTTACGGGGTTTCAAAGATCAGATCCTTACTAGTGAGACATTACCTTCCGTTGCTAATGCCTATTATCGGCTATTGCGTTCTTCTTTGGGACAGGGTTCATCTTCATCTAGTTCCGCCTCTCAACCTTTGGCCTCTTCTACATTGATCTCTAGTAGTGGTGACCATGGGTCTTCCCGTGGAAGTTTTCAAGGCCACTCTAGTCACCGTGGCTCGCATACTGGTTTTCGTGGTTCCTACAGTGGTCGTTCTTCTCATGGTTCTCATCATGGTGATAGGCGTGGAAATGGTTCTGCGTCCCATGGTGATCGGAAGTGTACTCACTGTGGTTCATTCTGAGCCTTGGTGTTGGCAGAAGTACGGTAAACCTGATCATGTGAACAGGTTATGGATTCTCCATCCTCTCAGTCGACACATTTCCCTTTGGCACAATTGCTTCCCCAGCTGATTCTCATGACGTACTCAATAATCAACTTAGCAAGCTTACTGAGCTCGTCCAGTCTCCCTTCATCCTCCATAGCTACAATGGCTGGTTTAGGTAATCTTGCTTGTGTGTCTCAATCTCTCTAACCTTCGCTCATAGACTCTGGTGCTAGTTCCTATATCTCCAGTAATTCATCTCCTTTCCATACTATTCATCCTGTTACACATAATATTATACTAGCTAATGGATCCTCCCGACCTGTTAGCGGCAAGGGTATTCTTCAACCCACTCCATCTATCTCCTTACCCTCTAGTCTTTGAGGGTGTTTGGGAAGTGAGTTTTTATGTAGATTTTATTAGATATAGGTTTTTATGAGATAAAAAATTTTTAGTGTTTGAGAAGATAGTTGGGTTTTTATGTGGTTGGATGTGATGTTTGTGAGAGAAAAAGTGAAATGATTATGGGGTTGGATGTGATATTTTGTTTGGATGTGTTTTTTTTGGTTTTGTAAAACTTTTGTCTTTTAGTGAAAAAAATGAGAAAAAAATTTGGGAACTTGCTTCCCAAACACCACCTTTATGTTCCTACTTTTCTATTTAATTTACTTTTTGTTAGTCAATTGACTAAAGCTTTTCACTGTTCTATAACCTTTTCTCCCACTTTGTGTGTTTTGCAGGACCTCCAGATCAAGAGGATGATTGGTTCGGAGAATGAGAAGGATGGCTTACATTTTCTAGACATTGATAGCCCATCTCGTTCTACTTCTGCTGTTTTGAGTGCAACCATATTTCCTCTGCAATGGCATTTTTGCTTGGGTCATCCTTCTTTAGCCAAGCTTAAGTTAGCCATTCATGGCTTGAGTCATGTGTCTAAACTTGAGTGTGATGCTTGTCAGCTTGGCAAGCACCATCGTAGTTCCTTTCATAGTCGTGGTGTTAGTCGTGTGTCCGCATCTTTTGATGTAGTCCATACAGACATATGGGGTCCATCTCGGACTCCCACTGTTAATGGCTTTCTTTATTTTGTTATTTTTGTGGATGATTACTCTCGGATGACTTGGTTATTTTTACTAAAGCAACGGTCTGAATTACCTCAAATAATTTCTAAGTTTTATAATGAAATCTTTACTCAGTTTGGGAAACATATTAAAATATTCCGGTCTGATAATGCCTTAGAATATATGCAGTCTATTGTAGATCTTTTTTGTGCTAATCGTGGTATTATTCATCAGATTAGTTGTGTTCGCACATCACCCCAAAATGGTGTTGCTGAGAAAAAACACCGCCATTTATTAGATGTTGTTTGCACATTGTTGTTTAACATGCATGTTCCCAAACAGTTTTGGGGTGATGTTGTGCTCACTGCTTGCTCTCTTATTAACTGCATGCCCTCGGTTGTGTTACACAGCCAGTCTCCCTTCTCTCAGTTATACCATGATTGTTCCCTGTTTCCTCTTTCTTCTCATATTTTTGGTTGTCTAACTTTTGTCCATGTCCTTGATCTGGGCTTGGATAAGTTATCTCCTCGTGCTCGTAAGTGTGCTTTTAGGTTATTCTCGTATTCAAAAAAGTTATCGATGTTATCACCCTGAGTCTCGTCGGTTCTTTTTCAGTGGTGATGTTGCCTTTTTTGAGTCCACCACATTTTTTTCTTCATCTAGGCAGCAATTGTCAGTCAATCTTATATCTTGTCGTAAGGGGGAGCCAGCTTCTCCCACACCTACTTTTCCAGTGCCTTGTGCCTCCTCCTCCTCCTCCTCCTCTCCACCAATGTAGATTCCTCTTCTTCACCTCCATCACCTTTCCAAGTTTATCAGTGGTCCCAAAATTTTTGCCTTGTTTCTTATGGCCCGAACAGTTCATCTTTTTTGTCAGAGGCTCCTGTCCCTCCTACTGTTCTGGACTCTGATGATCTTCCCATTGCTTTGCACCGAGGTAAATGTGCTTGTCCCCAACATCCTATTGCCCATTTTGTTTCTTATGATCGTCATTCCACTAGTCTTCACTCCTTTGCTTGTAGCTTGTCTTGTGATTCCATTGCCTCTTCTTATGAGCAGGCTATGTCCATGTCGGGTTGGAAACATGCTATGGCTGAGGAAATGAGTGCTCTTCATCAGAATCAGACTTGGGACCTTACTCCATTGCCTTCTGGGAAACCTAGTGTTGGTTGTTGTTGGATTTATACTGTCAAGTATCTTCCTGATGGTACCGTTGAGCAGCTTAAGGCCCGCTTGGTGGCCAAAAGCTGTACACAAACTTATGGTGTTGATTATCTGGACACCTTCTCCCCTGTGGCTCGCCTTAACTCTGTTCGGATTCTCCTCTCTGTTGCCATTAGTCAATCTTCACCTTTATATCAGCTTGATATAAAGAATGCTTTTCTTCATGGCCATCGCCAAGAGGAAGTCTATATAGATTAGTCGCTTGGCTATGTTGTTCCCAAAAGTGCGCATATGATTTGTCGATTGCGGAAGGCCTTATATGGTCTCAACCAATCTCCATGTGCTTGGTTTGATCGCTTTAGTACAATTGCGCTTTCATGTGGATTCTGCCATTCCACTTCTAATCATTCTATTTTTGTTCACCACTCGTCTACTGGGAGTATTGTTCTCCTTGTCTATGTGGATAACATCATCATTTCTGGCAGTGACTCCACCGGTATTGCTGATTTAAAACGGTCTTTAGGTCAGCACTTTCACATTAAGGACTTGGGCCATCTTCGTTATTTTCTTGAGATTGAGGTTGCTTGGTCTTCTCAGGGGTTGTTTCTTTCGCAACGCAAGTATGTGCTTGATCTTCTCTTTGAGACTGGCCTCTTGGGTTCTCGTCCGAGTGATACTCCTATGGACTCCTGTGTTAAACTGGATGGTGATACTAGGAACTTATTTCTTGATATTGGCTGTTATCGTTGTTTAGTTGGGAAATTAATTTATCTCACTGTCACTCATCCTGATATTACATATGCCATCAGTGTGTTTAGTCAGTTTATGCATGCTCCTTGTAACCCTCATTTTGAAGTTGTTTGTTGTATCTTGCATTATCTGAAGAGTGTCCTAGGTTGTGGTCTACTCTATCATCTATCTTCTTCCTTGTTTGTCACTGGTTTTAGTGATGTTGATTGGGCTAGCAGTCAGATTAATCGTCGTTCTACCTCAGGCTATTGCACCTTCGTTGGCGAAAATCTTGTTATATGGCGTAGCAAGAAGCAGACAGTTATTGCTTATTCGAGTGCCAAGGCTGAGTATTGTGCCATGGCCCATACTGCTTCTGAGCTGTTGTGGGTTCACTCTCTTCTACAGGATTTTGGTATTCTTGTTCCCACTCCTATGAGTATGTGTTGTGATAATCAGGCTGCTATCTTTATTGCCAATAATCTCGTATTTCATGAACATATAAAGCATATTGAAGTTGATTATCATTTTATTTGCAACCTCTTACTGAGAAAGCAACTTGTGACTCCTTATGTTCGTTCTGAAGATCAATTAGCTGATATCCTCACCAAACCCTTGGCTCAGTCTTCCTTTCATCACTTATCTACCAAGCTAGGTATGTTTGATCTCTATACTCCAGCTTGAGAGGGAGTGTTAGTATAGTCATATGTTATTATGTTATTATTTTATTAGTTGAGAGTACTATGGTCATATTGTAATATGTCTTCATATAGAAATATATACTGTTGGAGTAGGGTTGATTTTCACAACTCTAAACCAATTAGTCAAACCATCTTCTCTTCTCTTGCTCTTTCTATATAACCCTAACCCTAATATTCAACTCTTGTGCATTCTAACTGGTCCCTTAGTTTATGTTTGCTCAAAAACATATTCTTTCTAAAAACACCCTTCCAATTTTTCAAGGGTTCAAAATAGAAAATTTTGAACACATATACATATGTATATATAATTTTAAACTAAATCCAATTAATATTTTCTTTCTATATCAAGCTTTGAATTTCTAGTAGCAATACCAAGAAAGGACTCTGAAACCCAATATTCTTAGAAGTAGAATAAAAAATGTGATAATTCATCCCCAGAAATTTGCCAAAAATTACTGCAATTCTTATACAGATCATTTGCAAAACTGTATCAACAGAAATCGCCAAGAGTACTAGAATAATTTTTAGTTTTTGGACAAAAAGTTACCTCATCAACAGCATTATCAAGCAGTTCTGCTATGGCTGCAAACACAAGGCCAAAAATAAATGTGGTATTAGAGATTGTAACAGTAGCAAAATGCAACAAATTCAAGTCGCTAGAAATTGAGGGTTAAATATAATACTAGGTTAAACTAGTGAATCATGTAAGCTGGACACACCACCGAAAGCCCATTTATGTGAAGTGGCATTTGAATGAAGGAACTTGGGGTGAATATGTAGATAACTTCCATCTGTACACCAAGAAAATAAGATGTCAGGGTCAAGATGGTTGCAAACATCCGACTGAGAAGATCAAACTTCAAAATCAGCACAGCCAATACTTGCTGATTGGTTGCAACACTAGGTCGAGCATTTCCTGGTTAATTTCACAGTTTTTAGAGCCTATTTATGAGATGCTCATGTAATCCAAAACATCAAGTCACTAAACATCATGCAAAAGTCCATTCAAGATCAAGATGAAATTCTTGATAGGAAAATACTTTTTAGTGTAGGTTTAAAAGCGAGCCCATCTTCATAGTTTCCCACTTTCCAAAATTGACGACAGATGGGTATTGAAGATTGAGGCAATGTAGAAGAAAAGATTGCATCATTGGTTGGAGACAGCTGTTGATCCATGATACTGGTGCTACTTTGATTACAACTTAAAATATATGACCTCCCATTCTGTCCAGGTTCTTGTCTGGTGGAATGGACCTTTGACTTCTGATGCTGGGCTAAATCAGCTTTTTGGTACACCTTTTGCTGCGTCGAGCTCCCAACCAAATCCAGCTCCAGTTTAATGGCTTTCACATCACTTCTCCAAGTTCATCATTGCTACATAAGTCAACAACGTTTGTAGAGCTCATTTTTAAGCACTAAAAAGGAATTAAAACATAAAAAAGTAGGTCAAATAGCACAAAGAAAATGAGTCATAAAATAACTGAACCAAATACATCAAGAAGCAAGCAAGTTAATCAATATCCCTAATCATTAACAAAATAGTGAAAATCGTTAAGTGGGTTCTTCTTGCAAAGATGATATTAGTCGTGGGTATTGGCTAGTGAGGTGGTTGATTATAGCCTTCCGGAAAGATGGTGGACACTTTAATGATACAAGACCGCCAAAGGTAGAGAGGTGATGCAGGAAAAGTAGTGGATTTGCAAAATAGAGGCTATTTGACGGCCTAAACAGTGTGTACTTTAGGGTTTTAAGGGTGAAATTAAAGGCTACTAGGTAGAGGAAGAGATTAGGGTTGCTTTGGGGATGAATAGATAGGGTTTTGAGGTTGAAAAGTACACTTTTAGAGGGCTGTGAATAGTAATCCGAGAATAATAAATTGAAACAGAAAAGAAGAATAAAGAAGAGAAGAAGATAGGTCTAGGCATCACACCTAGATTCCATAAGCATCACACTTAGGGATTGCATCACACAATCCATAAAGAAACTTCAAAACTCTCAAATTTTTATAAAATATCAATTCTTTTGAATTAGAAACATTACATGACTTTGTATAGATTTTAGAGACTTCCTAAACCAACTCGAAAGAAAAAAAGAAACTACTATAATATTTTAGACTTCCAAAACTAATTTAAGACCAAATAAGAAACATCCCTAAAAACTAATTAAATAACTTGACCCATAAGACAACCCATGGGAGACCCACAAAACCCATATTTAGAACTTCTACAAATTACCAAAATACCGCTGAGCTTAAATCCTAGAAAACATAAATATAATTATAAAATAAGACTCTAATAATACTAGAAATATGATTATGAATGGTTCCTATTAGTTTTTTTTTTTTTTTGAAATTATGCCAATTTTCAAATATCGCCACTTCTTTGAGTTTACTTTTCCTTGAGCTCCTTATGTTCTATATCATTCTCCCTTGGTTGGAAAAAAACTCGACCTCGAGTTTTGAAGTGTTGGAGTATAAGAATCCATAAGTTTTGAATCTATGGCTTCACATTAACATGTACAAGTTCACGTTGCCTTTTCTTCATTGGAAATTGCAAAAAAAATAATGAGAGATTGATCTTAAGAAGCACAGACACTTCTAAGAAGGTGACGTATCCGTGTCGTGTTTGTGTCGGACACCGACACTCTTTGGACACTCTTAGGACACTTGTTCGACACTCTTCAAAATGTGTCATATTTTTTAAATTTTTTTAAAGACCCGGACACTCTTTGGACACTTGGAGGGCACACATGTCAATCGCTTAAACACACGTATCTATCGATTAAACACATGTGAAACTAATTATAAGTTTGAATAAAACAACTTAAGATACAATAATAAAACAAAAATTATATAAATTTATAGAAATTAGTGTCATATTGCATGTTTATTATCTTTAAATGATATATTTATATATACAACATATAATAAATATATGAAATTATATATTTCATGCGTGTTCCCCATGTGTTGTGTCCTGTAGTTTTTGAAAATTAACGTGTCGGCGTGTTCGTGTAGTGTCACGTGACCGCGTCCATGCTTCTTAGGATTGATCTTTTCAATCATGTCACTAAATTTTTCTGGAATAACAAAGTCAATTGGCATAGAAATCAAATCTTTGAATTCATCCAAATCAGTTTTCATAAGGCTTTCTTCAACATTCCCAACAACTTCGATTCTTTTCTTTTTAGCCACTTTTCCTAGCACAAGGCCATCTTTTGATTCACTATTGGCCAGCCACTTCATTGATTATGATTGGAGCAAATTCAGTAGGTGACTTTGTAGGCACTATCTCGGAGACCTCGGGTTGCAATATCATGACCTTTAAAGGCATAATAAGTTCTGAAACAGCAACAGGATGCATTAATTCTTCACTCCTTACAGCTTGTGTGACATTTGAGTCTTCTATTTGGACCTCATCCTCTTCTCGAGTAACAATTAGATCTTCTTGGGCTGCTTTTGAATCATCAAGAAGAGCCCTTTCATCCTCATTAACCTCGTCATTAATCACTTTGGCTTGATTTCCATTCTCTTCCTCCACTTGTTACTCTAACGGCTTAGAGCTTTGATGTCCAACAACATTCATTCCCTTTAATGGTTCATGGCCTCGTTTGGGAATAGGCTAATTTATAGTAACTTTTTGGTTATTTAACTAAAATATGAGCTAAAAAAAACTAGTATGCTTGGGATGACTTTTTGGCTTTTTATGAAAAGATGTACAAAAAGTAGAGAGAAAAGAGAATCTTTGACTTTTTGGCATAGATTGTTGGTTTTTTGATTTTTTTAGTGATTTTTTGACTTTTTGGCTAAAAAAGCCACTTGCCAAACGAGGCCGTACCAAGTTAGCCACCTCCAGGTGCATATTAGATGCAGGACTAGCAGTGGAACTTTTGAATAGTGTAGTTACCTTGGCACAAATATCACTCAATTCCTTACTTTCAACTTTTTGTGCTTCAAGGATGATAGATGCAGTTTTGATTGGAGACTTCTCAACCTTCATAATCTGATTATCTTGCATCTTGTGCAGATTGTGATTGTTCTTCTTCGCTTGTAACTTCAATTGCGGTTTTCTCCAATAGGTTTTAGCTTTGGTGTGACTTCTTGTGCATGCTCTATGCTATATCTCAATTGACTTGGTACTTCTTGCTTAATAATAGGCCTTAAACCATGTTTAAATCCAGCAAGTCTTTGGCGTGTGCCTTCCACAACTTGATTTCGCGTGTCAAGTGCCTTGAATCTTTGCATATATTCTTCAAAGAAAGTGTAGCCATGTCTTGAACTAACAAGTTGCTCATGTGACTCTACAGGAATATTTGAAGGCATATACTTCCCTTGAAGCTTAGCTTTCATCTCTTGCCATATATTTATTGGTGGCAATTCCAATCTTCTTATATTTTCTTCAACATGATACCACCAAAGTCGTGCCAAGCCTACAAGTTTCATCTTAGCAAATCTTGCTTTCCAATCAGCTGCCCAATCATAGCAATCAAAATATTTCTCAATTGAAACAAGCCAATTAGAGAACACCATAGGATCATCACTTCCTTCAAAAACCGATTAGGGTCGCTTTGGGGATGAATGGATAGGGTTTTGAGGTTGAAAAGTGCACTTTTAGAGGGCAGTGAATAGTAATCCAAGAATAATAAATTAAAACAGAAAAGAAGAAGAAAGAAGAGAATAAGATAGGTCTAGGCATCACACCTACTAATTATATAACTTGACCCATAAGGCAACCTATGGGCGACCCACAAAACCCATATTTAGAACTTCTACAAATTACCAAAATATCCCTAAGCTTAAAATCCTAGAAAATATAAATAAAATTATAAAATAAGACCCTAATAATACTAGAAACATTATTATGAATGGTTCCTATTAGTTTTTCCTTGAAATCATGTCAATTTCCAAATATCACCACTTCTTTGAGTTTGCTTTTCCTTGAGTTTCTTATGTTTTGTATCAAAGGGAGACTGTTGAGGTAGCCTTAAAAGAGAGTGGTAGTTGGAGAGGAGAGCTTCTAATATGTGGAGGATTGCCTTTGTTGCATGCCAATGCACCAAGTAGACGAGTTAAAGCATGCTTCCCGAGGTATGGCCCAAAGCACCACAACCACCCTTTCTAGATAAAGGTGTGAGAATATTGTAGATATTCTCCAGATGTTATGTATGTTCTGTAGATAAGTTGAAGGTAAAGCTATGCTTACACTCTCCTTCAAGGATGAGCCATCTTATCTCGCTCCCCACCATAGCTGAGGGTAAAGCAATTCTAATGTTGCCCTCTGGGGTAGAGCCACGGTATCTTACTCCTCTTCGTAATTGAAGGTGGAGCGATACTTATGCTCCTCTCCAAGGTCGAGCCATCTTATTTTACTCTTCTCCATAGTTGAAGGTGGAGAAATACTTCTACTCCCCTCATAGTTGAGGGTGGTGCGACACTTATGCTCCCCTCATAGTTGACGGTGATGCTATTTCATGGTAAATGGAGAAGCTGACATAGGCTTCCTTCCTAGGTAGAGGAGAAGCTGACATAGGCTTCCTTTCTAGGTAGAGCCTCACTTGCCTACCTCAACAATAAGGGCACCTAGTTTCTATCTCAGATGACTTGCTTCGATTCTTCACACTCCACAAGAAAAAAATGGGGATGATGTTCCCTCATGCATAATGAGTTACCATCACTATAACGGAGAGCACAATCACCATTCTTTATAGGAGGAATTCTACCTCATATGATCAAGAGACATGTACAAGCAGTGGCACAAGGGGCTTTTATCTATTATTATAGAGAGACTTATCTAAATGCTATGCTACTTGGAAAGTGGATCATTTAGGTACATGAAACAAAATGGAAATCCAGTACACCACATGCTCTAAAATATAATATGAGAAGGATAGACTACTATAGATTACACCATGAGAATATAAGGTAGCAATTAGACATCCAATAAAATAATTTTTCTTTTTTTTTTTCTTCAAATTAATCATGTAATAAAACATATCTATAAGCATTATGACCCATTTTTTAAGTTTTTCTTGCCAAAAATCCACTCTCCTTAAGTTTTAGTTCATTGTATTTGAATTTTCCCCTCCTAAGAAAATTTTTAGGCTAAGTTTGGATGACACGAATGTCAAGGGGGTTAATGAGAATGTGATTCCTGTGATTCCACCATTTGGATGAAATTGGAATGGAATGTGATTCCCAATTTCTCAATCCAACTATAGTTAGTTTCCTAGATTGGGGGAAATGTAATTTCACCACTCCCACTCCCACTCCCACTCCCCCACCCCCACACTAACGTCAAATTCCTAAGCTAGGTTGATTTATTTTTGGTTATACCCCATATTTTTTTCTCTAGACAAGATTCCTAAATTACCCAAACACTCAAATGAGATTACCCAAATATCATATTACTGGGAATGAGATATACTCATTCATGGCACCCACACACAACCTAACCTAACCAAACCAAACCAAGAGTTCCATCAAATGGGGTCGACTGCATGAATCCTTCTTCTCTACTAGACTCTATCCAAGGCCATTTTGTTAGTTAAATAAAGGAGATTCATATCTAAATTTGGGATCACTTTAGATCACAAAATTTATCGTTGTAAAATGAAAGTGTACCTTGTTTCGTAATGTGTTTTGATTTCCAAAATGTAAATTGCCAGGGTATTAGCATTTGTTTAGTTCAATTTTTCTAACAATTAAGGCCGAGTACGAGGCCCTTATTTTTTTTTAGTTCCAAAACGAAATAAATGTTTCTAAACATATTTAAAGTGCACAAGTTGCATTCCAAATAATGCAAAACATTGTTACTATGAAACGATTCATTACATAGGTCGTGTTAGAGGGTTGTGCGAAGTGTCGCCGAGGTGTGCGAAGTGTCGATAAAATGTCAGATATTATGAACAAAATTTTTTAATTAAGATACGTTAAAGAAGTGTTGGACACACTTTTAGGAGTACGCAAAGTAACCATGTCCAACATGACAAAACACGCGCCATCTCCATAGAAGTGTTCGTACTTCTTTTAACAAAAGTTTCCAACCCACATTTTTTACTTAGCAACAAGTAAATTGCTTCAAACAACAAATAAGGGGGGAAAGAAAGCACAAGAAATAACTACAATTAATATATAAAAATAAAAAGAAAAAACATATTACATTTTGAGCATTCTAAATTATGTAGTTAGAAAAAATCTTTCTCCATGTTGTTCTAACTTGTGACCAAAGGCTAAGAGCAAACTAGCCTCTATTGCATGATTGAATTAATTATCACCCAATGCAAACTCTAAGTCAAAACCTCTTGCTCAAATCCAAGGAACTCTTAAAGTAAATCAAACATCCAACCAATTGTCAATAAAACTCGACGGGAGGTTGATATCAGCCCTACTAGTTGTGTCCTATGATTCAGGTCCTTAGGAAGATTGCATCATAGGAGCTGCAAGCGTAGTTATGATATCTCGGGAGGTGTGTAATATATGCAATAGATGTGAGTGTAAGGTCAACGTCCCCTCTTTCTAAGCTTGGTCAAGGTGGAGCTTTCACTACATAGAGATAGCTACATGACCTTGACGATCCCAAGGTCTTAGCCTCCAATCCACAATCCTCCAATGATCCCAAGCAGAAGTGTCTATGTCCTACTCCCAACCTGGGCAGCCAAGTGACTAAGTAAAGTGAGTGAGTACATGGGTGAGCCAGGGACTCATCTTAAGCAGCCAAGTGAACATAGGTGAGCCAAGGGTTCAACTATGTTGCCATTGCGCTAGAGCGAGTGGCCAAAGAATACATTCTCTTATGAGGCATGGTTCACGGAGAGCTCTAGATGAGCCATAGTGCTGCTTCATACTTTGACTCATTTGCCTTTAAGTACTTACTACTAGCTTTGTGTTTGGTGGTGTGCGTGGTGTGCATGCCCCTGCTTAGGCTAGGCATACAACCCCAACTCGTCGTAGTGCCTTAGAGGTCTACCACGTGGATGTGTGACGGTGATCACGTGACGGCCATAGGGCTTGCCACGTGTCAAGCATATACAAGTACCCACATAAATATAGTGATTAGAGCTGATATGTACCACATTGACGTCCTCCAATGTGCACTTTTAGACTTTCAAACTATAATACTTGGCTAAATAAGGTGTTGTTTCTTGTTACACAAGTTAATCAAGCTTTGCCAATAAAAAGAGTGGAATTCAATGAGAATAAAGACCAAGCCCTAGAACACTTCCACATGAGCAAAAGTTGCATCGCACGAGCAAATTATACTCATGGATTGGAAAAGGCTATTGTCTAAACACCACATGTGTTGCCATTCTTCTGCATGAGAAGATTTCGCCTCTGCAAGAACAAAAGCTCCCCAATCCTCCAATAGTCTTCTAAGTTTCGCATTTTGGGCCGCACGAGTGAAAGTGCCTCAAAACACGTGTGACCTGTTTAAAGTAAACAAGTGTTCAAGAGAGTATAAATACAAGTTTTGAAGATTGAAATAGGGTTCCAACTTTTACCAAACAATGACAACAGTTAGAGAGGTGATTCCCATGAGTTTTCCATGGCATTCTCTTCTACCTTGGCAGATTTCTTCATCTCCATAAGCAATTAGGCGCCTTCGTTAGTGTTGAGATACCCTAAAACCAAACAACTAGGTTCATGTGATAGAGTTTTCGATTTGTTATTGATTTTAAGAAGTTGTAAATGTTAGGAGTTTTATTCAAGAATGTTTTACTTCAACATTGTGTTCTTCTTTCTGTGATTGAGAATACACATTACACAACTATTATAATTGTTGTATGCGCTAAAATCTTGAGACAAATCATGCTAGGGGGATACGAGTTGTGAAATTAAAGGGACACGCCACCCGGCGTGTCCCGTACGTGTCCCCGACGTGTCCCCGTGTCCCCGGCGTGTCCCCGTGTCAGACACTGCCACGGCATGAAATCTGCCGTGTCCATGCTTCATAGGATCCAGATCGTAGGATCTACATTGCTAAAACGATCTAGATCGTTGTAGGATCAGTGTTATAACAAGATTACAAGTAAAATGGTACGGGATTGTGCAAGGTCGTATGGGATCGTAGTAGGATCGTAGATTTTGTGATTTTTCATCTTATTTTTAATATGTATCATTTTAATTTATATTTTTATCTTATTTTTAATAGAAAGTAGGATCTTGCGATTGTCGATTTGATTCTACTATCTGATCCACGAGACGCTCTCACCGATCCTACGTAGGATCTTGATTTTAACAACCTTGATGCCGACTGAAGATGATTCGTGCCCGTGATTTGAATACATCGATCTTCTTGCCAACATTTTCAAACTTGTAGTTGTGAAACATTATTTGCTTCAAATCAACGATGTTCCATAACTTAATACATGAATTCCATTTGCGTAACTAGCGGTGGAATCAAACCCCTAAGATCTTCTCCATATTAATCTTAGAAATGTCATTTCAAATAACTCGATTGAATCCAATAGTCCCTATGGATACCTAAACTTGCCGCTATTCTACCGAATTAGCGGTTGATCTTACTAATTTATTTTTGATTGAAAAATACCAATCAACAGCTTCAATGCAACCCTAGCATCCAAAAAGTATACTGAGAAATAAATCAGCAGCCCAACATGAAAAGCTACATAAGCATTATACCAGTGAGCTGTTCACTTCAAAAAGAAACAACCACACAAGAACAATAATAATAAAAAAAAAACAGTAGATCAAATTCACAAAACACTCCAAAAGCAGAAAAATAGACACAACATAAAACTTATAACCAACCATCAAACAACATGAACTCAAATCAAACACTCCCCAAATCCATAAACAAAGAAAAATAAAAAATTAGGCCTCTTACCTCTTCAATCCTAAGATGACAAACTCAAATATTTTGAATCTTGAAGATTGAGAATAGAAGAGAACCAAAAAAAATGATTAATTTTGAGCAATTGTTCCTCAAGAAGCAAAACCCTTGCTTCTTCCATTCAACACTAACCCAATGCCCATGGTTGAAAAGGAAAGGCAATTTAAAAGAAATCCAAGTTAACAAAGGAGTCTAGTGTGAAAAGCAGAGCTATTTTATAGGTGACCCAAAACGACACGGAACTTTAGTGGGGAAATGACAGCTGGAGACAGCTGTATCGTGGCATTTTATAGAATCCAATGTTTTACAAATTTGGGTTGGTGTGAGTTTCCGTATTGAGAAGAGTTACTGGAATCGGCAAGATCATCATGGACACTGAAGCTTTTGTCAATGGCGATTTGATGGAAACTTGGCGATGAAGCTTTCGCTATTGGCGATTTGATGGAAGCATGGCGTGCCATCGCTGTTCTCGCACGGAACCCACCCATGGATGAGGGAGTTATTGGTTGGGAATAGGGATGGCAATTGGGTTAACGGGGGTAGATGTTAATTTTTCATCCCTATTCTTTTATAATAATTTTTTTTTATTTTTCATTTCTCATTTCCTATGGTTATCATCTTCCTTATTTGTTAATGGGTTTAGATTTTTCTCAACCCACTTTAATCTTCATTTTTGTTTCATTCTTATTTTTTATATTTAATGTTAACAATCATCTTTTTTTTAGGTTCACAATAAAAGTTAAATATACCTTCAATCTTTTTTCTTTCTTTTTTAATATATTTAATGTTAACAATTTTTTTAAAAAAAATTCACAACAAAAATTAAATATACCTTCAATCTTTTTTCTTTCTTTTTTAATATATTTAATGTTAACAATTTTTTTTTTTAAGTTCACAACAAAAGCTAAATATACCTTCAATCTTTTTTCTTTCTTTTTTAATATATTTAATGTTAATAACTTTTTTTTTTTTTAAATTTTTTTTTTTTTAAGGTTCACAACAAAAACTAAATATACATTCAATCTTATTTTATTTTATTTGGTTCAACAACAAAATCAAATACACATTAATTAATTAATTAATTAAAGAGTTTGTTTTACAATAATCAAATATATAATTTTGAGACAATCAAATAAATTTTAGTAATTGAAAAAGAAAATGTGGAAGAACGTGGAAGATTAAAAAAAAAATTACAATCATCTCTCTCTCTCACACTCTCACTTTCACTCTCTCCCCTACATGTTATAAGAACATGTTTACAATGTTATAAGAGCCATTTTGAAGAAATAAAATGTGAAAGAACCTGTCTGAAGAAAGTGTTATAAGACCCATATTAAATTGTATCAGGGCATAAACTAGGAATTGTTTGTTGATTTCTTAGTCGCGGACATTTTAGACATTAAACCATCTTTCTCTTAGCAAATTTGAACCATTCATTTGAATTTATCCAAAATCTAATTATACCTTTTAACAAATCTGAACCACTCATTTTAAGATATCTATGCCTTACCACACCCAATCCATCCTCCATCTTCTTCCTTTAGTCCCCACGAATTTTGTTGTTTGTTACTTTTAAAAAACAAAAAATATTTTTTCAATTAAATTTTTACTATTTTCACAACACCATCACCACTATTCTCACTTTCACTATCACACTACCATCACCATAGCCACTACCACCATCACTGCCGCCATTACCCCACCACTATGTCACAATCTCTACTTTCACCTTTGTTCCATCACCACCACCACCAAATATAAAAAAATATATTTTTTTAAATTTTTTTATAATATATATTTTTCATTAAAAAAAAAATTCTATCTAAATAAATGAAGCATAACATTAGGAAACAAGCTGATTTCAATTAAATCTATTCATAACTAAGAAAAAAAATTATTTTAAAAAAAATTATTTAGTAAGATTTTGTATTCCCTATTTGTTTTTCCAGCAAATAAATCTTTGTACCCATGCTTTCTAACCAATCACGACTCATGCTTATTTTGATTCTTTACAATTTCTTTATTTTCAAATACATTCATATATATATATATATACTAGTAGTCACCCGTGCGATGCACGGGATTTTACAAAGTGAACATAATAAATTTTAAAAAAAAAATTATGCTAATTGCATGAAAAAGTTGATAGACCTAAGTAGATTTTATGTAAAACCATATATAGACCCTATGTAAATTTATATGAATTTGAAAATACTGTCTTGAAAAGTTGTAAACCTTTAGGGCATTTATTATCTGTTTTATTTTCAGATCTTATCTCATGTTGTGACATATACTATAGATTTAGGGATAGACTTATGATTGTATATCTGCATATGTCACTATTTTGTTAACTAATCAATGAAAGATAATTACTTATGTTGGTGTAGTTATTTAATGTATATAATGGATGGTCTATTGCCTATTATTTCGGGGGTTTACAGAATAATTGGAATACAATACTTGAAAAAGAATTTCCTGATAAATTCTCAATTTTTATAAAAGTTAAATTTATTTTAAAAAATAAAGTGACAATTGAGATGGAGAATACGATGTGAATGTGAGATTAACGAGTGATTATTTGATATTTTTGAAGTATTGTTTCTTATCATTTATTACTTGAGATTTATCAAATTATTTTTTATAAATTCAAAAGAAAAATTAGTATGTTTGGTTTTAATTTTTTGAATTTAATTTTTTCAAAATCAAGTGTTTTATTTTTTGTATTTTTTTGTTTTTAGTGAATATTTTTAAAATTTTAAGCAATTTTCTTACTTTTTTATATGCACCTTACTTAGATATATCTAAAAAGTAAAATATTTTTTAAAAAATATTTTAAAAAATTAATAAATACAGAAAAATATGAAAAATATACTGAATTTTCTTTTTTTTTTTGTGTTTTTTGTGTTTTTTGTTCTTTAGTGAATTTTTTATAAAAAAATTTCACGAAAATTATACTTTTTAAGTGTATTTATGTTCGGTGTGTCTAAAAATTAAAAAAAAAATTGATTAAAATGTTAGAAAAATTTACTAAAAACAAAAAAATACATATTGAAAACTATCAATTATTTTTGAAAACTCTAAACCAGAACTCTAACACAGATTCTCAATATCAAACTTCTTTATTTGGGCTCATCCCATAGTTTTCTGTTAATTGAGTCTCTGTTTGAGCTCATTACCATGACTGAAACAGGACTCTGTGAGAATGCTTTCATTACTGGAATCTGAAGATCTGATACTTAGAGGGAAACCAAACCACTGAGAGTTTGGTTGAAATTATTATCATAATTCCCAGGGCAGAACCCAGAGGGGACTGACCAGAATCTGCAATGCCAAACTCAGAAGAACTACATATCATCGAACACTTTTCATAGTCACCGGTTGCTTCCCAAATCATCATATGACAGTGAAATTTTCAGAGGTCAAAATGCTAAAATGAGCAAAACACCAGCATTTTGTACTTGACTCAATATTCATACATTTGTAACCAGTTTGCTTGTGTTCTTCATTTGCAGAATCACTAAGAATCTGAATTTTTGACCATGAAAAATAAAATCGGTTTGGTTTTCATTTTTAAAATTTACTTTCCGAAGTACAATGTTGAACCAATCTGTTCGAATGTTGAAGGTCGAACCAATGTGTTTTGTTCGGATGTTGATGGTCAAATCGATGTGTTATTTTCGACCCTGATTTAACAAACAGCGGAGGGATCGTTGATCGTCTTCTCAGGTGGAGAGAGTGGTGGTGCTGAGGGAAGAGATGACGGGAATCATCGTCTCTCACTGAACTAGAGACAGAGAGAGAGAAGATTCATGGAAAGTAGCTCCAGATTATGAAGATCGAATCCAAAGACGATTGATTTGCGTGTATATATATATATATATATGAATTCAATGACAGACGTAAAAGCAACGAACAGAGAGAGAGGGGGAGTAGAGCTCGATATGGATTAGTAGAGACCAGAGAATAGAGAGGAATAGGTGCCGCCATCGGCGGCGGCAACAACGGTTGGTGCTTGTTAGGGTTAGGGTTTGGAGGATAAAGATGGTAAGGGTATTTTTGGTATGGTAGGATGTGTATTGAGTGTAAGTTTATAATTTAAATTTATGTAGTGTGTATATTGAGAAAGATGTGGAAAGAGAGGAAGAGGTGTGTGCAAATAGAAGCTCTCCCTAACTCATGATGTAGTAGGTGTGTGAACTTAATTGTGAGATGGGGTGTCTCAAAATTATTGATGTCTTTTTTAATAATTTTATTTGACATTATTATTGTAATAAAAAAACTAAAAAATGAGAGATCCAAAATAATTAATAGAATACTAATAACAATACTCTTTTAAAAATTTAATTAAACTTACTAAGGCCTTGTTTGGGAATAGGCTTTTTTAGTAACTTTTTTGCCTTTTTGACTAAAATGTGATGTAAAAAAAACTAGTATGTTTGGGATGACTTTTTGACTTTTTATGAAAAGATGTGCAAAAAGTAGAGAGAAAAGTGAATCTTTGACTTTTTGGTATGGGTTGTTGGCTTTTTGATTTTTTTAGTGACTTTTTGACTTTTTAACTAAAAAAACCACTTGCCAAACGAGGCCTAAGTTATTTTTTTAAGTGCAAATAGAACCAACCCTACACTTGATTTTGCCCAAAAAAAAAGCCTAAAAAGGTTGATTTCTACAAGGCCCAAGCCTTCTCTTTTATAGCCCTATTTCTTTTTCACCCTCTCTCTCTCATGTTGATGTGGGAACAAACCAAAATCAAAACGAAAACCTAATAAATCAATCAAAACCCACAAAGTTACTTCTAATTTTATTCTGTTTGGTTTAGAATTTTTAAAAATATTTTTTTGAGTTTTTAATCCCTTTTTTTTTGGTATTTTTTTTAATGTATTGATATTATTTTTAAAAAAACTTAAATTCACTTAATTTAGATACACTTAAATAGTATGGTATTTATGTAAAAATTTTCATAAATTCATATTGAATACAAGCATTTAGTGAATTTTCGTATTTTATTATATTCAATGAATTTTTAAAAAAAAATTTGTACAGATTTTATATTTTTTAAGTGTCTAGATTAAGTGGATTTAAAAATTAAAAAAAAAATTTGATTAAAATGTTAGAAAAATTTACTAAAAACAAAAAAATACATATTGAAAACTATCAATTATTTTTGAAAACTCTAAACCAGAACTCTAACACAGATTCTCAATATCAAACTTCTTTATTTTGGCTCATCCCATAGTTTTCTGTTAATTGAGTCTCTGTTTGAGCTCATTACCATGACTGAAACAGGACTCTGTGAGAATGCTTTCATTACTGGAATCTGAAGATCTGATACTTAGAGGGAAACCAAACCACTGAGAGTTTGGTTGAAATTATTATCATAATTCCCAGGGCAGAACCCAGAGGGGACTGACCAGAATCTGCAATGCCAAACTCAGAAGAACTACATATCATCGAACACTTTTCATAGTCACCGGTTGCTTCCCAAATCATCATATGACAGTGAAATTTTCAGAGGTCAAAATGCTAAAATGAG